AGTTATGTTTCGAGAAACACCAACCTGAAATACTTGAAACACTGCATGATTTCCTCTCTGAATCAAGGGTTGATAACACATGTATTAGAAAATGTCTAACATGAAGACTTGACAAAATATTTTCTGACCACTTGATCCAAAAAACTTATTCCATTGGCACTTATTAATACTTTGCTTCTGCATCAACTAAAAGCCACAACCATCGGCTGAATTTATCAAATTTTTGCAGCATATACTGAATAGAGCAACATCTTATCCTTTTAGGGAACACCTGCTCATTCAATTGTAATACAGGGTGTCCGTAAAAGAATGTCCGACTTTCAAATTGTAAAATTATCAGCTGTAATTGTCCGACAGTTGTGGTTGAAGGTGACGAATAAAGAATAACTCCAACAGTTTCAGATAAGCACATGCGCTTGTACCACTACATCGTTTTCGCAGTTGCAGCGTCATCTGTTTAAAATGGCGACTTCTGAGCGTAAAGCGATTTGTGTTCTACTATTTGCTAAGAGTGATTCGGTAATTGCCGTTCAACGTGCGTTCCGATTACAGTTTAAACGTGATCCCCCATGTGACAGAAATATCCACCGATGGTATCGACAATTCAAAACGACCAGATGTCTTTGTAAAGGTAAAAGCCCGGGAAAACTCAAAGTTTCTGTAGAGAATGTGGAACGTGTCGAAGAATCTTTCTGTTGTAGTCCGCAAAAATCTGTTCGGAAAGCAAGTCACGAAATACAGTTGCCAAAGACGACAGTCTGGACAATTTAAAAAAAAAAAATTTAACACTTGCGTCCATACCGATTACAGTTGGTACAGCAATTAAAGCCAAATGATTGTGCAGTACGATTTCGTTTTTGCATGTGAAGTTCTTCAATGGCACAATGACTTTCTGCATCATGTGGTGTTCAGTGATGAGTCGCCGTTTCATACAAGTGGGAAGGTAAATACCCATAACGTTCATATATGGGGTTCAGAAAATCCTCATCAACTTGTACAACATGAGAGAGATTCTCCAAAAATAAACGTTTTCTGTGCTCTTTCAAAACGACAAGCGTACGGACAATTTTTTTCGCTGAAGCTACAGTAACAGGGGTTTCTTATCTGGATATGCTACAACAATGGCTCTTTCCCCGATTAGTAGAAAGTGAACCTGCAAACTTTATTTGGCAACAAGATGGAGCCCCTCCTCATTGGAGTCTCTTTGTGCGAGATTGGTTAAACGAAGTCCCTGACCGTTGGATTGGGCATCACGGCCTAGACGACAGAGTTCTGTTACCCTGGCCGCCTTGTTCACCTGACACCATGCCTTGTGATTTCTTCCTTTGAAACTTCGTAAAAGATTGAGTCTATGTTCCACCCCTACCCCCCGATTTACCAACCTTGAAAGGTAGAATTGCACAGGCTGTTGCTTCCATTACTCTGTATTTGCTGCAGACAGTATGGGAAGAATTGCATTTTTGTTTGGATGTGTGCCGTATCACTAAAGGCGCACACATTGAGCACTTATAGGAAAAACTAGGTTAGTTTTCCTTCAATTTCATGCATGATTTGTTATATTTAGTATAAAATAAACTCCTGTAATATACCATTAAGACTCGGACATTCTTTTACGGACAGCCAGTATTTTAATCTGGTTTGTAATGCAATAAGCAATTCTCAATACATATATCCGCACCACTGAAGCAAGAACAAACGGATTAGTTTGTATTCTTTGTGAAGTGCAAATATTTCATTATTCGCAAGAATCTGTCTCTCAACATTGTTTAACTGAAGAATTTTGGGTCCCAAGAATTGAACCATAAGTTCAAAACAGAAAGTCTTTTGGCAACCAATGCATCATGAGCAAATTAAATTTTCTCACTTTTGACATACCAAGGCTTCTGTACACTGCTTTACATGATGCAATATCTTTTCATTGATGAAAAGTCTCCATTCATTACTTGTGTTCCCAATAACTAATTGTTTTAAGTGAAAGTCGTTAGTCCACCTGCTTCTCTCCAAATATTTTGAAGAGGAAGTCTTCCAAGTGAATTTTCAGAAATAATTTCCTTTTTCTTCATTGTCCATCATTTGCCATTTTTTTTCTTTCAAAACGTTTCATCTGACTTTGCTTTTCTGTTGAACTATGGCTTGTTCCAAGGCTTTGTCATCATTTTGCGCCATGGCATTGTCCATCATTTGCCATTTCTTTTTTTTTCTATTGAACTATGGCTTGTTCCAAGGCTTTGTCATCATTTTGCGCCATGGCAGCTTTTTTGCCTTGGAACAAAATTCTCATTTGAAATTTGAATGTTTGACCTTTGCAATCATTAGAATTTTATTTTTGGAATAGATACAACACAGAAGTGATAAAGGAATGTTTTGTTTTTCCTCTGAACCAGATCATGAAATGTTATGGCACATTCTTTTTAAAGGAATAATAAAATAACTCCATGAATCAGATTCCTTTGTAGTAGGTGGAATAACCTAAGCTTCATCCAAAGAAAAAGAATAAATTTCTGTATTAATTTCTTCATCAGAACTAATTTTTGAAGAAGAATTGTCACTGGATAATTCTGGTAAACGTTTTACCATTCCTTCTGATATTTTTTTCCAGTGGTTCCATGTGACATGATAAATAGTGAAAAACTTATAGCATATAAAATGTGCTCAGAAGCCTTGAACAACTGCAAACAAAAAGAAGAATACTTTGTGACAAAGAATAAGGTAAAGAACTTTCTAAAACATTCAGACAGACAAGAAATATGACAACTGTTTGGGTCATATCACTTTGGGAAGGCAGAACCTCACTTCCATTCCAACCAGATGTTGAATAACATACAGCATGTAAATAAAAATAAAACCCAAAACCATGTTAGCTTCTACTAAACAGGGAAGATGAACAGTCAAAATGACCACTACCTGTAACTGTAAGTACAATACAGTTAAATAAGAAAAAATAATCATTTAAAATAGGCTAAATATATTAGTTTGTTGTCTTGCTATACATTAAGAACAAAATTTTAAAAAGTGCAAACAATTAAATTTTTTTTGCATTTAAAAAAAAAACACTTCTGTAAAGAAGCAATCTTTCTAAAGACATTGTTAAAACACTTTACATTACTCAGCTGATGTTAAAAAATAAAAAAAAAATAAATAAATAAATAAAAGAGGGCAGAATATCGGCATAGTTCAAAATTAGTCTCTAGCCTGCCTTTAAAACTTCTTTAAACATTCATAAAAGATGATCCTATGTTAAGAAAATAGAACTAATTTTGAAGAACACAGCAGCAGCTTGCTATCTTACTGTCATGGATATTCACTGCAAAGTGATTCTTTGTCTTTCAGTTTATAAAGAAATTCTATAATTTCTTTGATTTGACAAAAATAATTATTTTGCTCAATGGCACTTGAAAAGTCAATATGGAATTAGAATGAAAATCAATTTGTCATTTAATAAAAGGGAATAAATTTAGGTTGCACTAAGGGTCAATAATTTGACATCAAGTCTTGAAACGAGGGCAAAAGAAATAAGAAGTTTCATTTAATTCTTTGATACTTGGAACTCTCAAAATTACTTGTAGTCATCAATAAAATTCTTAAAAGAACTACAAAAGCTTGCATTTACAGAACACAATATAATTTAATTCAAAATAAGTGTGAGTTCTCTCTTGATAATACAAACTAAAAATGTTCAAATTAATCTTCATTCCAACAAGATTCAGTGGAGTTCAAAATGCACCACAAGAAATATCAACACCATTTTACAACAAAACTGGCCAGTAAGAATACAAATTTTAAAGTATAGAGACTGCTGAAGATGAAAGCTGTTATGTAAAGGGCTGCTTTCAAGTAAAGATATATTTTTCTTATACATTTAGCTTAAAGTTTTGGGCTGATGTATATACCTAGATAATATGTTACCAACTTAATTTTGACTGTTGCAGGCTTTGGCCACCTGAACAGCATTTTCCAGCATCCATAATCCACAGTCATTGATTATAAGGATTTCAAGACCCTTCATTGAAAAGTTTAAACACCTAGTAAGTTACCATCCTGCTTTAATACTATTAAATCTATCGTACAATATGTTTAACTATTGATGGATCTGATTCATCAGATTTAAAAACATATTCTAAATACTGAATAAATGGTGGTTTTTCTTATTTGCAGGACACCACCACTCCTCCCTTAAATAAAAAAAAAAAAAAAAAAAAAAAACAACCTCAATCTGGGATTCCAGTCTTCTCTTTTTTTTGGAGGGGGGGGACACGTATAAATTGATGATGCCATGTTAGCACTTAAATCCATTAAGATCCATTACTATTATCAGAGATATGAATAACAAGAAACAATCTCTTCACATGCCAGCCTGAATGTTAGGTAAAAACTTTTTATATTAAAATACATATAAATATGTGCATGGCTCAGGCAACTGCTAAATGACTGCAGATGCGAGACATATTGAATTCTTCATTTTTAAAGCATGAAATATAAAAATTTTATTACTTTCAACAAATATTTAAATTTAATTATCTTACCTCACCTCTGAGAAGAGTATGCCTCCTATAGGCAAAAAAAAGAATGGGAAAAAAATGTGCGGTACTAAAGTTACTACTGAAATAGACATAAGGCCATAAAGGAAACAGACCCAAACAATTGTTTCTTTGCACAGTCGGCAACAAGTTCATGAATGCTCTCCAAACTCCCAAATCTGTTAGCAACTTTTCGCTAGGGATGTGAATAATCAGAAAAGTACTTTCTCTTAAAAAACTTTTTGCCTTTTACTGTAGAGACCATACAATTATACTATGGTAATTTTAACACAATATAGAACACCCCATTTTAGGTAAATTATTATGAATAAAAATATTTTGAATAATAATGCATAAAATGTGTGACTTATTGAATATGAAGCTAATTTGAATTAGCCATTTATAGATATGTTATGCTATACATACATAACAAGGGATAATCCGTGCATCACATAAATAGCAGTTTTCAACATTTGTCCTTACTTTGTTGTCCTTAAAGGAAACACATCGGCATGTTCAGGAATGCCATAAACATGATTAAATCCAATAAATGAGAAATCCATTCCAACAGAAGATGGTCCTAAGATAAAGAAATTAATCAACAATCATGTATTAAAAATAATAAGAATGTTTAGTAATATCCTTAGCAACGTACTACGCAAAATGTATAAGTAATTACAATAATATTTATTAAAATTAAAATAGACAGTTTGAGCATGAAATGTCTATGAATAATTATTATATACACTGACATTACAAACTTTTCATTTGAAAAAAAAAAGGATAAAGCTTTTCTTTATTTAGCTCTCTGCTTAGCACTCTTTTTTAATTTTTTTTTTTTTTTTTTTTTTTTTTTTTTTTTTTTTACGGAAAGGAAAAAGAAAAGAAGATGAAAAGTAATTTAAAATTATTTTGCACAAAATTTCATTGGCATTTTTTGAAATCAGTAAAAATAATTAATAATTTTTCATAATCAATAATAAATTTGTTATTTTCATTAAAGTAACTAGCAAAAACTATATTATAATTAACATAAATACTAAACATATATTGACATACCATAACATATTGTTGCATTCTACGGGTTCGTGGATTTAGAGGGATTGATGACAACACTTGATAAAGAATCAAAACACAATTTATTTAGCCAGTATTACTCAGGACAGTTTCAAAATCACGTTTAGAGTAGAAAAAAAACTATGACAAACATGCTGAAATAATCAGCAACACAGCCTTCAGGCTATAACAGTGATGACAGCTTCATGGCAAACACTAAAGTACAGCTCCCGACTCGGTCGATCGCTCTCGAAGTTCAACACTCAAGATAAGACGTGTCGATACATTCTTGTGATGCACTACTACTTTGCGTACAGGCAGGGTTTATATAGTTTTTGGCCTGCTTTCAAGAACATTCTGGGGTAAATTGGTAAGAATTCATTCTAGAATGTTCTCTGTCCATTGCACATCGCCAATTTTGTGGCGAAATGGGCGATTTCATGCCATATATGGCAATCCTGCCTTCTCTTGTCATTTTCTGGTGACCCTAAAACCCGGTTTGCAGGAAAGGTATCTTATCGCAGCTGGACATTTTGTAACAATAACATTGTTATGCTAACATATACTTGCATACCATACTCTTTGTGCACTTAATGATATTATAAAATAATTACTATTTTATCTATTTTCAGTTAACATTTAAAATATAATGTTCACTGAAAATTTTATAAAAATGTTATTAAGAAAATCAAATCGCTGAAAAATAATTGTGTTTGGGAAGAGAAGGGTACCAAGGATTTCGTACCATGTTAAAAATACCAGATACCAATTATCACCAACACTGAACTGCAGAAAAAGGAATCAGAACTCAAAAATTAATAAATACTTTAAAGATATATATATATATTTAGAGTTCTTTTGTAGAAATAGAATAATTTATCATTGTTACAACAGTACAAAGAGATTAACTGGAGCCATATTAAAAGAGAAATAAGTAAAAGCATAGCTGTTGCAGTTACCACAAACCTGAACTGAAGATTCCAAAATGCATATCATTACATGGATTTTGACAATGAAATATTCGTATATGTGATTAAAAAAATAAAATACATAATTACAATGCAAATTATATTATATCCCTTCACACCAAAAAACTGAAAGCTTCCAGATTTTATATTACACCCAAAGGGGCTTTTTTTTTTTTTTTTTTTTTTTTTTTAATGTTTTGTGTGCTATCTTTATTTATTAAATATCATGTTCTTTGCACTTAAACCACACAATTCAATTCAACAGCAATATCACAAAATATTTAAAAAGAACACACCTTTGGAATTTCCTATACACAGTCTCATGCACTGAATATAAATTTTTGGGGGGAGGGGGGGGGGGTCTGTACAGTGCTGCCAAAATTTGCTTTCAAATCATTTTATTAATAAAAGAATTGGCAAAGTTTTACAAAATATGAAGTACATAATAAAACAAATTCCAAATTTAGACTCCAGATTCCCATATTCGAGTGGAAAACTAACATAGTTTTAAACTAACAGTACCTCGTGACATCAAATTTTGGATAACATATCCAAAATTTGATGTCACGAGGTACTGTTGTTTTTTCACAATGTGAGAAACATACATACATTCACGCAAATTCTTCATTATTTAATTTCTTTAAAAATAATGCAGGGTTAATATTTAGTGGCAACAATTTGAAAAGTGAAACGTCATTTTATAGAGGATGATGCAACAAGCCAAAATGAAAATAATAGCCCTTTTGAGCAAATCGTCCCTTTCAACTTTTTTAAAATAATAATAATAATAATAATAAAAAAAAACAGGGAAGACTTTCTTTATATAATCAATGAAGGATGAAGTTCAGCTAAAAAAATTCTAAAATCATGAAAAAATAAATTTGCCAGTGGAAAGAGAATTTATCAAAATATTGATTAGGCAAAAAAGAATTTGTTGAGTCAATTACTCCATATAAATATTATATAGAAAACCTAGCAAATTTAAATAATCTGTTCTGATCAAACTTTCATACAACAGATTTTGAACATCAGAATACGAATCTAAAAATCATAAAAGAAAGTTACTCAGTACTTTATACAATTAGGTAATTATTGTAAGAAAATTTCAACTGAAAACTAGTTTATGATATTTATGAAATATCTTTTACAAATAAGACACAAATGAGAAATCTCAATTTGTCTCAATAAATTAGGAAGATCTGAAATCAGCAAATACTCCAGTTGTTTTAAAAAATAAGTTTATGAAAAATATTGACTAACAACGATTATTAAAATAAAAAGAGAGAAAATAACACAAGATACACTAAACAGATGGAAATAATCTTTCCTAAAGTTTAACCAATAAATATTAATGTAAAATTAATCCTTTCAATGTATTGAAAATTTAATAAGAAATCATATACAAACTATTATATTTACATATTTCTTTTTATTTAAAAAATTTCCCATTTTTATACTCATTACTTCTTTCAGCAACAGTGTACGATCTCAAATAATATAAATGTAAATTTAAAATTAAAAGTAATCTGATGCTGATTAAAGTATCTTTTAAAATTAAAAATAATCTAATTAAAATCACAAAAGCATAACAAGCATTGGTCCAGATTTTAACTTAATGCACATTTGAATTCAGTAAAATTAAAACAGCTAATGCAACAAAACTTAAAACACAAGTAGGGTAAGGAATCAGTACTACAGTCAGTATCATTGCTAAACTTCCTCAATCTAACTTTCAAGAACTTCATTTACATCCTGATGAGAGCTAACGAAAGTAACAATGATTAGTATAGTTCAAAATCATAATATAATTGGTTGATTACATAAAATACTCTACATAATCATTTGCAATGTATAATAACCTACAGTGCTGTTAGAGGCTCCTCTATGATGGCTTACCTAACTATTCTTTTAGATTTTTGAAAAGTGAGTGAAGTTAACCCACAAAAAACACATGAAACATGCTTTAAGAAATTTTTACTAATTTAAGAAATACCTGTAAATATATTTAATATATACATTAAATATTTTACTTTATTTTTTAAAATTATCCTTTAGATTTAATAAAAATTTTTCACTACTAATTAAAATATGAAGGTTTAGTTTCTCTATTCCTAAAAGAATTCATGACTAAATGCAGTACATGGAGCCCCCCCCCAAAAAAAAATGCAGCTTTCTTTTGAAACAAGTAAACATCTGCTAATATTATTAAAATCATAAAATAGAAACTGTTTGACGTGGTAAATAGTTCTGATTAAAAAGATGAAATATACACTATGTTGCAAATATATACATATGCACTCACAAAGAAATCAGCTGCAAATATGAAACTTTGCAGTAGTATAGTGCTCGAGTAGATAAACAAATGATAAAAGACTAGGGTGAAAAAACTGTTTTATTTATGAGTAGCAATACAAAGCATGTGAAAATCAATATGTGGTAAAGGCACTTCTGGCAGCTATACAAGCCGATACTTTGTTGGGCATGCAGTCTATTGTGCTTCCAATGCCCCTCTGCGTTTGATTGTGCCACAAATGGAGCAACTGGTCAATGAGTCGGGATGCATTTGTACACAGCTGAATTTGCCTGCCCAACCTATCCTACACATGTCTGGAAATCTCACAGGCCAGTCAAGAACATTAACATGTCGAAGACATTGTTAAGAAAGTCGTTCTGTATGCAGCCGAGTGCTGTCCTGCTGGAAAATAGAACCTGGATGACCTACTAGGATAAGCAGTATGATCAGCTGCAAAATGTCAATGTACCTGCGAGCAGTCACAGTATTTCGCAGCGCAACTAATGGTGTCCTAGCTGACAGCTCCTCAGACTGTCAACCCAGTGCTCTGGCTGTGTGCTGCTAGGTAGTAAATGATACGCTGGATTGCTCCCCTCTCCATCTCCGGACATGTATACACAGCCATCAACATTGAGGAAAAAGTATGATTTGTCGAAGACCATATTTTTTCCAATTGAACACTGTCCAGCTTAAGCATTAGTAACACCATGTAAGACGACACTGCTTATGGTGGAGTGTCAATGGTAAATAAATCTTAATAAGCGTCAAGATCTGAGTTCAGTATCACCTAATCTTCTACAAATCATATCCTGCATGTTGCCAGATGGCATTGAATCGATTGTAGTGTAACTGTTGGTAGAGACATGGCAGCTCTTCTAATTGCACGATCATCTCGTGCACAGGTGGCCCGGGGAAATCACAAGCTACTACGGTGGCTGTCTATGCCTTCACTGAGCCACTAGTTTCCAACAACAGATAACGAATATATCGCTTCGGCCAATATGATGGCTGATCCATTTGCTGGGGGAACTGGCATCTTTTAGACCTATGGTGTGACCCCTCTTAAAGTCTGATAACTGTTTTTAATGTACACTTTAAGTCATCTTTCGTAACAATGCAGCGTACCGAAGCTGTCATGTTTTGGTACACTGCACTTGGTAAGCTGTCATGGTTGTAAATGCTCGTCACTCTCTGCACCTGCTTTTTTATATTTTACCAGCTATGCATTTCAGATGTGCATTGTATTGCTCCACAATGCTCATTAGTGCTGCAAGTTACTCATTTACACAACTCACCAAATTATATGTACATGCCACATTTCATAGCTCTGGCTCAATTTTTTCTGGGTGCATATCTTTTTTGTAATGGAGTCTGTAAGTGGGAGAAAAACTGGCTAAGCCATCTTTAGATTGCCATGGTAATACTCATATATAATGGAGCCTTCATGAGCTTTAAAATAGAAGCATGCTTTCTAAATAGGAGGGAAATTCAACACAACAAATTACTTAAACATACCATTTGGTTTAGAATCAGTATGTCCTTTAAAAGTTTCTTCCCATAAAGTATCTTTAAACTGTTCTTCATCTGGAGGTACAGGTGGTTGCTGCTGCTGTAAAATTAACAAAATTATTCCATGGGAAGAAATAAAACACAGCATATAAATACCTTTCCATGTAAAATACATGCAGCAGAAGCTACCATCTTAGAAAAGCATATTTCATTAAAAATAACACTCACTAGCTAAAATCTTATGATTTCTGACAGTGGCAATAGTCATTTTTTAGGTGGCACAATATTTCAACATACAAACAGTAAGAAAGATTTTGTTACAAAATGGAGGAATTTTTTTTCATTTTAAAAATTATTTTTAAATAAAAATTTTCTTATTAATTATGAGCAGTAAGAATTTCAATAAAAAGGTTGTGATGGAAAAGAAGAACACTGGAATAATAGGATTCTGACTAGTTTTATACATATTGTTATTGTAAGGTTTGTCTTAAGTTTTTAACAGTCATTTTAAGTTAAAGTTCCTTTACTATCCTTCCTAATTTCAGCTTACAATTTCCTACTAGAATGTGTTTTTAGAATCACGTTTAATGCAAATGAGTACGAGTAGTATTTAAGTTGAAGTTCCGCTGACTTTAAGAGAGAGCCTCAGAGTTTCTGATTAGCGTGCATTTGCCTTCTGGCCACGTCTCTAAAAGCTGTTACTATGCTTAACTGTATTACAGGCCCTTGATAGCTTCACCAGCTAATTCAATATTCAGGGGCCAAATACTTAGAATTTTGACAGCTTCAGCTACATCTCTTTACTTAAGCATTAGTTAAGTCTTATTTCTTATTATTTTGAGTTCAAGCCCAAGCAGAAACTTTGCTGTACACCTTGAAAAAGGGGCCAACTGTTCATTCTTATTTTGAGCAATAAAGGATAATTAACCCTTCTGAAGTTTACGCTTCTGTTATTGAACTAAAGCGATTATTTGTTTAGCTGCTCAATAGTTATAGCTCAATAGCTTAGCTGCCCACAGTTAGTTGTTAGATAAAAGAGTGGAACCCCATATTATGAATTTTTTAAATATAATTAATTTTACATAAATTATATGTAAATTGTAACATCTCTTGTATAATGTAACATAAAAGACATCAGAATGCATAGCATCGCTAGAAAAATAGGTGCACGGGGTTAAGTCCATTTAAAACTGAGGTAAATGTCTATCTCGGCAATGGCGATGGTTTTGACATTGGGTAATTTTTACCACCAAATTTGGCGAGAAATCTTCAAAAGTAAGGGGGTTACTATATCAGACTGCAGAGAGCATCAGTTTCAAGTTTCTCTGGCAGACAGGATAAACTATATCACTTCAGGGAGAATCAATTATCAGCTTAGTTCAGATTACTGAGAGATCACCATGCGAGCTTCTGCTTTGGAATGCCTTGTGTTCAACATTATTAGTAGTTTAAGTGGTAACTACTGATTAAGTGGTAACTACTGATTGTGCTCTGTGATACTGAACTGAATGAGCATTTTTTGGGAAAGTTACAGACCTATTAAGTGGTTCTTTTGGGAAAATAAATTTCATGAAGCTATCATCGGTTCTGAGAGGATTCAATCCATTACAAACTCATATGCACATAACAATATAACATACTTATAAACTTAACTGAAAATAAAAATCAAAAGAGTTTTTAAAGTAAATAAAAAAAAGTGAATTTTATTTTAAAAAGTGACATTTATCTAAATATTTTGAAACAATGATAAGGATAAACTCATATAAAAGTGAAAAATTAGACAAATAAAATAAACTTTATATTATACAAATAAAATAAACTTTATTATACAGTACAAAGTCTCTAATCCAGACGTCCATAATCCGAAATGATCTATAATCCGGACCTCAAAGCTACAAACTTTCTGTGCATGCGTAAACACATAATGCGCCTACGTATGTGCATAATACATTTATGCATGCGCATAACACGTTTACGCATGCACATTTAGTATATAACAGACAGTATAAGCTAAGCTAAAATTACCTAATTATCTATTTCAATTAATGTTGCAGATTGCGTTGTTCCTTAATCTTCGAATTGGATCCGGCTTATTATTTTTTGCAGACTGTTAGAGCAATTTTATAAAAGTAAGCTTGAACTTTCGATTATGTCAAAAAGAATTTCCGATTCTGGAGCTGCCAAAGGATCTACAAAGCGAAAGCATTATTCGATGTCCATCAAACAAAAAGTGGAATTGCTGCAAAAAATGGATAAAGGCATATCCTTTGTTTCTCTAACCATTCCGAAATCTGTTTATCAATTTCACATGGCTCTGCGGGGGGGGGGAAGATGTCGTGGAGCGCAATGAACTGGAAGTTGATCTGTCAGCACTATCCTTATCTTCAGGGCAGATGTTTTTATTTTATTCGGCTTATAATTCCTTACTAAATGTAGTATTTCATCTCGATGTACTCTGTCTTTGATATGATTTAAATCAAATTCCTCGTCATTATAAATATCACGAATACACATCAAATAGTTTTCTGGTTGCAATTTTCTAATTTCGACTATGCGTAATGTATGCTTTACGCATGCGCGCATTGAAAGAAATGTTTAATAAAGTAAACAAATAAATATTAAGCTTTTTTTTTTTTGTAAATTTTGATACCCTTTAGATCATAATTGCTCTTTATTTCATAAATTACGGTTTCATATTTTTAATTTTATAATTTCTGCATGCCATCTTACCAGATTTAAACTGATGATCTATAATCCGGAAAAACCGATAATCCAGAATCGCCGAAGTCCCAACGAGTCCGGATTAAAGACTTTTGACTGTATAAGATAATATATAAAATACTTTCTATTACACATACTTTATTTATTTATATTGTTATAAATAATATACATAAAATATATATATAATAATAATATAAATAAATTTTATACTATTATTACATATTTTATTTATATTATTTTATTTATGACCTTTAATGAAATATTTATACCAGCTTGTCAGTTAAAAAGTGATTCAAAGTGTGTGCTTCGTATTATTCATCATCCTTCAAAATTTACTTTTCAAAATCCTGGCATTCACAAACCATCGAAATGAAATTAAGATACTTAAAATTTGATAGAAAACAAGAAAAAAATTTTTCCTGTAATGTTTAGCCTGGTTTTCTGAGCAGGCAGTGGAACCTCCATGAACACATGTGGATTGCCACCTGACTAATGTCATATGTTCTGGGAGTTTAAGAACCCTGACAGCATGCCTGAAACAATACTGGGAAAACTACTCCATAAACTGCAAGCGAGCAGCCTTGTTCAGATCATAATAACTTTGAATGAGTGCAAGTTCAAATCCTGCTTCAGAATCCATACAGAGGTTGACTGGGACACTTGCAACTGTTATGCCAAATGCTGAGATGATTTTTTGTGGACTGCATTATCATTAGCTGTTAGGATCATTAAGATGAATTATTATTAAACATAACTTAATTAACATTATTATTAAACATAACTTAATTAACATTATTATTAATAATGTCTGCGAATAAAAAAAATTATGAAATTTATCAAGTAGCATTAAATAATAATTGGACATATTTGAAAAAAGATAAGTGATATTTTATTTATGTTTTACTAACAGTTAGCTTTATTATTACTTATGTCTCATTTTATCACATAGTCACTCAGTCTAGAGGTTTAGTAAATAGTAAGCATATTTTATGTCAAGTGGCATAGGCTAAAATGAGAAGTAAGTTCATAATCAACATGATTCATAAGTTAAGAATAAGTTTTTACATTTTTGTGTTATATCTTGTGGCCAAGGTAAGGGTTAATGAAAAGCAATAACTCGCTTTAATATGCAGAGATAATTTTTAAGGGTAAGCAGTTAGTTATAAGTAATTGAATTAGGTATTAGATAACCTCAGTCATTATGGATTTACATTGCCACTATTAAATTTTATCTTTTAACAATATTTTAATAATTAGATTTGTTAAAAAAGGCCCTATTAAAATCACAATCTAATAAAATTTCACAATTTAAAATACTTGTAATTTATGACATTGATTCTAAAATGATATTAGGATAATTACACATTAAAAGCTAAATATTTATGCGTCTTTTTAATCTGAAGCCTTCCCAGATATTTTGGCTAATTTATATAGATTTTTTTTCTCTTTAAGCATGTTTCCAACAATTAGAAATTTGTCTCAATATGCAAAAGAATATCCTCACTAGTTTCTACATGTTTTATCTCTTAGCCTGTCAACCTCCCCACAATGTACCTATGAGGGTTTATTTGATCTGGTAAAAGTTAAATAGTATAAAACCCCCTGGCACATGTGAAGCAAATTATCACTATGTCTGAAAGTAACTACAAAGTCAGACAAAAGTTTAAATAAGCCTCTTATCTAAAAAGAACTTAACATAGAGGCATGTTCTTATGCTAACAAAACCAATTACTGCTCATGGTGATGTAATTAAACAAGAAGAGTTAAATTCAAACTAAAAATATTGACTAGTGGTCAAAGACTATACAACTTAATTCCATTTTAAGCTGGCTCATTTTAAACTTTATCGTCATAACAAACTCAAATGTTGGCAGCGGTAATGCAAAGACAAATAATTACAAATTATCAGAGCTGGCAGAAACTAATGCAGGGACTAAATGAAGTTCAGAAACACTCTTGTCTTACATTCCAAAAACCTCAGTTTAAAATCTGTCTAAGAGATTTACATTTTGGTGAGGAAATAAAAGTGGGAAATTATAGTAAAGGCTAAAATTGTAAACAAGTGGGCAATTTACATAATAATAACTGAACATATCTTTGAAGAATAATTTTCTTTATGTATTCAGTTTCTTTCTTCCACATTTTCTTTTCATTTTAGAATTTCTGGATTTGATTAAGGATTTCCGTGTTATTCTAAATACACACTAAATGCATTTAGAATGCATAGAAAAAATGACAAATTTAATTTCTTTAGTAATATGAACATTCAGAAGAAATATGAAATATATATGGTAAAATCCAGTTACAGAGCTGGTGTGGCAGAATTTTTAGAATTTAGAGACGCACCGAACAACAAAATGTGTAGAAATAGGAACAAATTATAACCCATGAACCCATTCAAAAGATAACCTTATTTGTCAGCGAATCACCAAAAACATTCCTCCAAGATGTTAATTCACACTCAAAATGGCAGTTTTAAAAACAGACAGGAACTTCAGATGATTAAAATTAAGGACCTTCTGCCGATTTTGACTGAAATTAAGGACTTTTAAGGACCAAAAATAAATTCCAAAAAAAAATTAAGGACTCTTAAGGAACGTACGAACCCTGTATTACTCAGTCGATGGTATAGTGGCTAATGATGCTGATTGCTGTACTGTAAAATTACTGTTGGCTGTTACATACCCCAAAGAAGGTACACAAATTTGTATGCATATAGTATTTGTGCCATAAGGGAACACTAAAAACACACAGCAAGCTGAAAGTCCTCTCAAGAGGTTGGTAATATGGAAAAAAGAGGTGGGAGACCCTCAGACCACACCCCAAGATGTTCTTCCTGAAAACTGGGACAGAAGCTTAGCAGTTAGCTAGGTTCAGTAATACCTCAATCAATTGAGGTGCTGGCCTAGCTTCTACCTGTACCTACATTTACTCAACTACTTACTGTATGTAAATATGTAAGAAAAATAAAGAATTTATCAAAAATGTCAACTTTTGGAATAAGCATAAATAATGTGCCAACTTGTTTGTGGCTGCAACATGTTTGTTGAAAATAAAATGAAGATTTATTGTGCCTCAGCTGATCTTCAGTTACAGAATTCAGGCTTAGTCATAACATGTGATCAAACTTTATGTAAAAATTACATTTTCTTTTTTTTTTTTTTTTTTTTTTTTTTTAAGCATTTTATACTGTACCTAACAGTAAAAAGTGCAACAAAATGGAAAAACTATATTTATTCTGAAATAATTAAAAAAAAAAATGGATTGAAATTACCTGGATTTCATTCTGTTCTTCACCTTCTTCAGTGGGCTTCCTAAAATGTTGCAAAGTAGAAATATAAATATGCATAAAAGTGAAACATCTCACTTGTAATCTACTACTTAATATGGATATTGATATAATTGAGAAATTTACAAAAAAAATGTAATAATATATAGCTTACTGATTGGGTTTTGGACGATAATGCTCAAATTTCATCAGACCACGTGCATTGGCACTAATTACCAGTTGATCATTTGAAAAAATATCCATTCTGAAAGGGCTTCCATTTAGAATAATTTTATTAGGGCCAAACTGTACAACTAATTTTTCAGAATCCTGAGACACGACCTGTAAACTAAAAAATAAAACAAAAATGTTTGCTAAGAATGTTATTAACATTCACAACATAAACTAGCATTAAAAAAAATTATAACTTCATACTCCTAATTAACACTCATGAACTTTTTTTTTTCCTTTCAAAATAAACCTTTCACTAACTATTAATACAAAAAATATATTTTACAATTTGGATTAAGTATCTTGCAACTTGCAGCTACACACCAAAGCCATTCTTTTCATCATAATATTTTTAATAATCCTGATTTTTTAAACTCATTAAAAACCTTGAATTCCTTAAAACCTTGACACATGAAAATATTATGTTGCCATATTTATTACACAAAAAGATATTTGAGAAATTCCTTTCTTGAGTAAAAAAAGAACTTTACGCAATTTAAGACATTTTACAGATGAGTACCAACCACAATCAAAAAGAATACTATCTTACTTTGAAGACAATTTTATACTTTAAGAAATAATACATTTTTACATAACTGTTAGTTGGAATTGCGAAGATTTACTACACATAAAACTCCAGAATAAGTATTACTAAAAAGTATAATTTTTAGTTTGGGGAACACAAAAAAAAAAAAAAAAAAGACTTTTGTTTTCTTAATAGTAAAGTATGGAGGATTCAAAATGATATATATTAAGCTATAAAAAAAGTTAAGCCTTGTTTAACATACCAAATACAATGCCCAAAACAATTACACACTTGCTTTGTTGTACTTGGCGATGTTCAGTAAAATTCAAGGAAATGTCATCATCAGCAATTGAGAACAGAGTGACCGATGCTAAACATTTTCTTCCCACTGTGCAGCAGGACACACAAAAAAGTAGATTTAGCAGGAAACTGATGATATTGGAAACAATGCCCACCAGATGACAGTTCCTTTCATTCCCACAGATGGCAGCATCTTACGGCCTTCATTTTTCCTATGACTGCTGCCTCAATAATAATCTTCACTCTTCAACCATTATAATCTATGGTGTGCATGCTTCAATTTTCACCTTCATTCAGTACTACTTAAAATGGTTGAACTAAAATGACATGCCGAAGATGCTAAATGGCAATTTCAGTTAGTAGTAGGAAAGTTGCTTTTCTGTTGAATGTAATGGAAAACAATAGGGCATTATCTTTTTTCAAGTCTTAAGTGTTTCAAACGAGTATAAATAATAAGAGTAATACTGTACCTGGTATAGTATTTGCTCTTATTATTTATACTGCTTTGAAAACTTTGTCCTTTGTATAAATAAAAATATGACCAATACCAGGAAAGCGTTAGGAGTTGGTTCTTCAATGATTTGAAGCTGAAACTAACTAGATAGAAGAATATCTTTCAGCCACTGCTGGCTTAAAGGCATCTTATTAAGTATGTTTAGAGCTAGCTTAAAGTAAAAGTCTTTTAGGGATGGTGAGCTCATTAAAAGATGTGCTGTAAAAATGGTATTTTTGTTTGGAGATGGCTAAAAATTTTGAAACAATGGCCTTGTCTCATCAGACAGGTGAAGTAGAAGAAATAATGAAATGGGTAGTGAAGTTTCATGGATTCTAAAGAGACTTTTTGCTCTCTCTAACTTTAGATGACAGCACAGATAAAGATAACATCAGCCACCTCCTTATCTTTTTTAGAACAATGAATGAAAAATTTAAAATTCATGAAGAACTGCTGGAAATGCTAAAATCATTAGAAACCAGCACCAAAGGTACAGACATATTCAGTGCAATGGAATTGTCATTCCCAAATATGGAGGCTTTCAGAAGTACTTTGGCATTGCAACAGATGGAGCTAAAGAAATGGCTGGTCACAGACCTGTGTTAGTAGGACAGGACTGGGTAAAAAAAAAAAAAAACAAGGCACACATTGCTTATTTTTTTCACTGCATTATACACCAGGAGGCTCTCTACGGAAAATTTATGATGCTGAGACAATGAAAACTGCTGTAAATACTATAAATTTGACAAGGGAAGACAACAAAAGCCTAGAGACACAGAGCATTTACTGCATTCCCGAGCAGTTTGGAAGCTGAATATGGTTACATTTCAGTGTAATGTGAAGTGCACTGACTAATTGCTGGAAATTGCCTACAACACTTTTTTCATTGAGGAATGAAATTCTTGCTTTTCCCAAAGAAGAAAACATTGAGCATGAATATTAATAAAACTGGAAGAAATCTATTTTTTGCAAATTGCACTGAACACAAACAATACAGCATACTTCCCATCTCGTCAGCAGCTGAAAGAAGAAGAAAATGACAGAAATTTTAGTATGTTTTATGAAATAATAATTGAGATCAAGAAAGATTTCCAGGGCAGATTCCAATATTTTGACTTACCAATATTTTGACAAAAACTAAGCCTGTACTGTTAAACAATCTCATGGTGCACTGTGATCTTCAAATGGAAATCTGCGATCTTTAGGCAGACCCATTCTACCAGACTATAAAGCGCGATAATGATGTCCTTGAAAAGATCTTTTTGTAATATCTGCCCTTCTATGGAATTAATGACAAAAAAAAAAAAAAAAAGAGAGAGAGAGAGAGAGATAAGGAAACTGATAGTTTGTGCTGTAAATGTACTACTTGAGCTATCTCACATTCTCAATTTGATATTTTAAAATTTAGCTGTATGTGACAAAATCTATTACAGCTTTCCTAAGGGAAATTTACTTAATTTAAAATTATGTATGAAACTACCAAGGCCAGGTTCAAGTTAAGTGACATAAATAAGAGACATTTAAAAATGTCTTTTCTGCAGACATTTTACAGCTAAAGAAAGAAAGAAATCTATTTAATGATTATTTTTAAATAAATTCAAGTATTTTATATTTATTTAGCAGCATGCATAAGTAAAAAATATGTGCAGTAAATTCCATGATGGTATATCATATTACTGCTAGAATTAGTCTCACAAGTATGCCAGAGAAAATTGCCTGAAATTTGAAAGTATTATTAACTAATAATAAATAAATTTAGAAGGAAGAAGGCACATTAAATGATATGAATAATATTAAAATAAAGTTAATTACTTAAGGGTTAAAAAAAGAATTACAAAAATCACTGGTATTTTGGCAAATATGACAACAAATATTAAACGGTTAGCCTAGATGACTGTTTTTTTTCTTTTTTAATTTTATTTTACTGCAAAATGACAAATAAGGCATTTAAGAAAGAAGAAAAGGTTTAAAAGATTTTGTTCTATATGAGAATGGGGAAATTTACTTTCGTTCAACATGCACTGCGCATGCGCATGCGAATCTCTGGATTCTCGAGGTTATTGGAAACTTGCTTTGCTTTAAAGCTAATATGACTGTGAAAATTGGCCCTATGCCAACTGTCTGAATGATGCTCATGCGATACATGATTTCGCAAGAAAGTGACTGCTTCCGACACTGACACAAAAATCGCTTTTTTGGGGATTGTAATACAGGGGTGTTTGTGGGACCCCAAAAAATCCCCTGAAACTTTTACGGACTTACTACCAACAGTTTGGAGTTTCGAGAAGGGGGGGGGAGAGAAATGAAAAATTACAATTATGAAGTATTGAATGACCTAATTATAAAAGTTCAATGCATTACTTTTTTTGCAAAATTAATAACCATAAATTTTCAAACATATAAACTACTACATTTTATGTAAATATTTAAATTACCTGAATTAATTCTTTTTAAAAAAAATTATCTAATTTCTGCTGCTTTTTTTTATTTTCTGACGTTTGTGGGCTTGTCTTTCTTTTGTGGTGAACTTCATAATTGCAGGAAGGTTGACTTTTATTTTCCTCATTTACAGTTGAAGAAATTTCCTCGAGACTGCACATGCAGAGTAGAAGCAGTTTGTTTTTCTGCTAATGTAAAGGTTTTCCAGGACTTTTATAGGCGATCATCTGAAATATATGTTTTTTAAGTCCTCTTGATATTTTTCCAACTTCTGTTCATATTCAGTAGAGATCTTTGTGAATTGGATCAGTCATTGGATTTTTTGAGCCATCTTTTTCACATGAGGTTTCTTTAGAAGCCATTAAATCATATTTAATAGTCTGCACTGCATCTAGGGAATGAAATCTTAAGAGAGGTTCTATAGTCAGTGACAGTGTATCCATTAAGTTGAATGCACTTTCCACTAATGGGCCACGGAACAGCTAAGGCAGGCTTGACCAAGTTTAGCCAATGTAGGATACTTATAATCATTTGTGAAATCATCTTTTAAATTAAAAATTTAGACCAATATTTATCAATTGTACACTTGACTTGATTTCCACTTCATCAGATGTATAGAACATTCCTTTGGTGATATCAATATCATCTGGTATAACCTTATTTCAGCTTCTACTTTTGACTTTTTCATTATCACTAAAAATATGGGACATAAAAGATGATAATTTTCAAAAGCTAATTGTACTGGTTTTACCTCTTAGCTCTGGATCTAATGCTGTAAAACTAATTAGATATGAATTTTTAAGGGTAATTTTGTTTCATATGCTGTGCTGTATTAGTATAAGCTTTCAGCAGAGAAATTTGGAATTCTTTTGCTATTGGATGATTTTTTTGATAATTTCTTCAGGAGAGTAAAGTATGCACCAGTAAATATTACTTTGCTAGGTAGATGGAATTCTGGATTTGAGACAATCAACCTTAATAAATCATTATAAGATGTGCACTCTATATTTTCTGGCTCATAAAAAAAGAGAAAATTTTGCCATCAATTTATAAATACTGGAATGTATTAATGAAGCATTGGTTTTTTTGTTTTAATAATTTAATATACGTGTTGAACTCTGGTAATACTGCGGAATATAATGCCATATGCAATAAAGTTTTGTTTTGCCTAACCAAAATAACCCATTTAGTATTCTTTTTTTTCCACGCTAAAGCATCCTTTGTGAGTTGTTGGGAATGCAAGCAAGAATACTCTTCAACAATTTTTTTTCTGAGCTGCAAAAATATTTCTTTTATTGTACAGTTTCAAACATAAGAAAAATAATCCCTTTTATCAGTTTTATCCAAGTAGTGAATATAA